AATAAACTTGCCTTGCCAAGTCTCCAAGCACAAACTGGTGGTTGCCCTATTGATCACAGAGTTCCCCAGTGATGCGGTGATGCTGTACACCTGACCTACCAGTTGAGAAGCAGACACCCGCCTTTCTCCAAGGGTCACAATGGAAACCACCCTGCTAGACTCTGGTAAACTAACTTCAAGTGGGAATCCCTAGAAGAGGCCAACTGGTCTCTGTTGAGTTAAAACAAACAAACAAACAAACAAACCAGACTGGGATTTGGGAATGTTTGCGCTTGTTCTACTAAACATTTGTAAGTAAATTTCTAAATGGAAATAAACTGCCTACCAGTTAGGTCTCCAAAACATGAAATTCAGATTCTTACAGCTCAATTATTTCACAGGAATTGTGCACAGAGAAAGCCACACACCCCTGAGGAAGGGACAAGCTGACTTTGAGACAGTATCTGTGCAGTCTAATCTCTCCATTTCTGTCCACACTGCCTGGCTTTGGACTTTCCTCTCTTTCACACTATACTTAATTAGAGTCACACTCACTAACATGTTTCTCTCTAGAATTTAGCCCATCTATGAAAACCAGAACCCCAAAATTACAGAAAATTCTATTTCTCCTTCCCTTGTATCCTTACAGCTCTGCAAACACCATGGTTTTTAAATTTCTAATTTCCTTTATTAGTTTTTTCCAAAGAGGATGAAATGGATGGGACAGTACAAATATCCCTGTCTCACTTTTTTACCTTGAAGAAAGGTTAGACCTGTTTCACTGAAGTTTGCAGTGCCAGAATACAAATGCAAAAGAGCCACAAAGAGCCACTCTGAGTACCTGGAACATTTTAAAAGTTCCTTAAACTTTTAAAGGAACTGCTAAAGTGTTCCTTACAAGTAGACTTACAAGTCCCTCATGCCACCAGCTGCAGACACCTGGGCCGCCCATGGGTCCCACCCGAGGCAGAGCTGCAAAGAGGCCTAGAGGCGCCTCTAGCAGCACGCTCTCTGCCTGGGACAGCCTGGCTGACGCAGGGACCTCTGGGACCCTCAGCTGCCTGAGGATCTGGAGGTCTCACAGCTGGAGGGGAACATGCAGAAAGCATGTTGGTCCAAGTGGTCCCCGACCACTGTGGAAGGTGCTGCTCTCTGCGCCCTAAGGATGGGAAGCAAACAGCGGCAGAGAATGAAGATGTCTGATTTGGGAGGAGAAAATTTAGACAGATGTTAAGAAATCAACCTCCCTCCCCGGCACACTCCAGTCCCAGTGCTAACATGCAGGGAGGGGTACGATTAACTGAAGGCAAGTCCACATGTTAAAATGCTCTGAAACGTGTTGCTGCCTGGCTGGCAAGGGGACACAGGAATAGACTGAGAACAAACGCCTGACACAGGGAGGCTCCAGAGGAGGGAGCAGGCCCGCAGGGCCTATGTGCAGCTCACCAGGAACTGCAGGGCACAGACCCACGACCTCTGGTCCTGCCGCCCAGCTCTGTGGTTTGGGGAAAGTGACTTCAGCCACTCCAAGCCTCTGCTCCCTCATCTGTGAAACTGGTGTAATAAAAATGTCGACCTTCTTAAGGTTGACTGGGGATTAAAGGAAATAACTCATGTAAAGCTCTTGGCAAAAAATGGGGCATGATTAAGTTATTATTATTATACCAATTCAGAGTTGTAAATGCTTTTATTTTCTCTTACCTCTCTCTTTCATACGCAGAGTACCTACCACATAATTTAAAAATTCAGGCAGCATTTCTTAAGTAAGAGCAGAAAGGACATAAGCAGGAAGAAGAGGAAGGAGGAGGGAGTTGAGAAATCACTAAGGACCAAATATTAAGCTTGTAAGAATCTGAGCAATTTACTTGCCTTCCCTTAAAAGTCATATAGCCTGTGGACTGGGGAACCTGGTGATAGAGATAATGAATAAGTAAATAACTAGAGTATGTTTCAAAGAGATAAATGCTATGGGAAAAATCAGGATAAGATTAGGAATGTCTGATGGGGTGGGGTGCCACTTGAAATAGAGCGGCCAGTGCAGCTTCAGTGAAAAGGTGATTTTCAGCAATAATCTGAAGCAGGTGAGGGACTTAGTCATGGTTATATCAGTGGAAGAGCATTCCAGGCATGGCCATGGCTCACACTGGCCGCCAGAGAATCAAAACCCCGGCCGATCAGCACAGCAGCTCCTCCGGGGCTCCAGCGGCAGGACGGCGCGGGCCAGTGGCTCCACGGCAACCCCCTGCAGAGGGGCCGAGGCCAGAGAAGCTTCCGGCAGGAGCACCAGGACTTCCACACAGGGAAGGTGACTTGATACCAGAAACGTGTGCACCACTGATAAGTCTTTCTAATCTTGTGAATTCTTCAATTCTTAAAAAAAATGCCAATAAAAACATCACGCTCCCCTATCTCAATCAGTGTGGCAAGAGGCATAATTAATCCTATATAATAGGTGAGAAATTAGACAGCTGGTTCCAGATCACGGCTCCTGAGGGGAAAAGCTGGGATTTGGATGCAGGCACTCAGCTCCTGCTTTCAGAGGAGGTTCCCTGAATGAGCTCTAAATTCTTGCCCTAAGTTCATCTTCATAACCACCTCAGACCACGATGAAGAAGTCAGCTCTCCGCTTTCCTACAAACAAGCAGGTGATCCTGGGGGGCCTGTCAGGCAGACATTGGGGCACTACTTTTAGTACCATTTCCGGCAGGGGAGATGGACCCACCAAGTCCTGGGTTCCCAGTTCCCTGGAGACCATGCCGCCCGGCCCGCAGGGTACTGGACGGACCTGCTCAGCGCTCTGACCTCTGGGGGCAATAACAACTTATCCCATCTCATTCCCTGCAAACTTCTGCCCAGCTGGGTCCGAGGGCCCAGGATTCACCGAAGAACCCTGTCCACGGCAAACATTATCAATAACAATGCAACATGGAGTTAAATATCCATTTCTTACAATCTTCCCAGACTAAACCAATTAAAAAGAGAAGTTTTCTGCTTAACTTTTAAAAAGAGAATTCAGACACAAACTATGGCGTTCTTCCCCATTCCCTTCCTACCTGCTGGGGTGACACAAGATCACATTGTCTCACGCCGCCCACAGCGCCATCTCCTTGCCTATTTTATCCTGGGGTTCTCCAGAGAGTTGAGCATTTGCCAGCACCGACTAATCTTCTGACTCAGGCCCCCCAGACGCCGACCAGGAGATACCAGTGCGGGTCCCGTCTAGAAACTCACTGTACTTCCAGGAAGTATGGGAAAAGAGTGGCACCAGGGTGGGGCCTGTAGACACCAGCCATTTCCTCAGAGGCCAGAGCTCCAACCGGGAGCTGCGCATTTTACGAGCCTGCTCTTTTCTACAGCCACTACTGCAGCAACCCCTTTGGCTTAGAATTTTACAAGTTTAAAAAGGAGGGAACTAGTCACACCATCTGGCTGTCGGACATTAGTAGGATATCTACAACATGAAAATGAAATCTTTAAAACAAAAGCGTCTAAAATGATACAAACTGAAATAACTCAATTTACTGAAAATGTTTTTAATCACACTGAATGAATAAAGCCAGCACCCCTTTACATTGCTCCTGCTAGGGAACACTGGTATAGGAAGCTAAACACACCACTGCTGCAAACGCGGTAACAGTAACAAAAATGTTACCACTTGACACGTGATATGTCTTTAGGTTTTCAAAGCACTTTCACATTTATCATTTAATGTAATTCCATGAGACGGGAAGAGCCAATACTACTGTAACCATTTTATAACCAAAGGAACTAAGTACAAATGAAGTTCTATGATTTGTATCACAAAGCGAGCTGAGTCCAAACCAGACTCTTGTTTAATTTGGCAGAGGACTCATCATCCGAATCAAATATTAAGAACTCTGGGGGAGAGAGGCGGGGAGGGAGAGAGGCGGGGAGGGAGAGAGAAGAAACAACAATGGGGGGAGGGGAGCAGGAAGGGAGGGTTCCTCCAACAGCACCTCCTCCCCCAAGACAGCTGCAGGGAACCTAGTCTGAACACTCTTGGGTCAGCCTTGGCTGCTTCCTAAGAGACATGAAGTGTGTCGAGGGACAAGAGTGAGTCTCCACTACATGCAGTCTTGCAATCTGAGGAATTCAAGTAATCTTTGGAGGTCTGTTTTGCGTGCTTTTATAAAGAAAAAATGTTTTCTGATTAAGGAACACTAAGGAAAATAAATATCTACTGTTGAAAGTTTAGATCACTGGGCAGAGAAAAATCTTAATTTTACTCAGATGAACTGCATTTAAACTCCTCTTTTACATTGTACCTCAGCATACAAAGGCCTAAAGATAAACTTTAGCACGTCCTATACAGGCATACCTTGCTTTATTGGGCTTATTAGCTCTACTGTACTTCACAGACACTGCACTTTTTAGAAACTGAATGTCTGTGGCAACCCTGAATTGTCAGATGATGTTAGCATTTTTTAGCAATCAAGATTTTTTTAGGTAAGGTATGTATGTCTTTTAGACATAGTGCTGTTGCACACTTAAAAGACTACGTTATAGTGTCTATACTATAGGGTAAACGTAACTTTTATGTGTGCACTGGGAAATGACAAAATTTGTGTGATTCGCCTTATTGCAATATTATTCTTATTGTGCTGGTCTGGAACCCTAACCCATAATATCTCTGAGGTCTGCTTGTATTTCTTTAGGGGACACAAGAAGGATGAGAGAGAGTCCTCCTGTGACACCAGATTGAGTGACAGCAAACGACAAGGCACAGATCATCACAGGTGTGACCAGTGGGATAGAGGTACCTCTGAAACCACACCATGCTGAGGTAGGGTGGAAACCTACACTTCAGTTGCAGACAGGGAAAACGGATCCGCTGGAAACAGTGACAGGCATTGCCATTTGAGCTTCTCAACCAGGGAACTTTAAAATCAGGGGATGATTTTGACTTGAGATCTCACTTCACCTCTTCTTCCACCAAATGTGCTTTTGCTACAGATGAAACTCGAGCCAGGACCTAGCTTTACGTTGGGGGTGGGCCTTACCTTCGTGTCTGCCGGGAGAATCGCAGGCTTTCTGTGGGGTGGCCACTCGAAGGAAGATCTGCTGCCTCCACGAGTGTCTCCGTGTCTTTACGGGGGTCCCGCTGGCATCACCAAGATGGCTGGCTTTGGACTCAAAGTCCCTAAAATTACAAGACAATTGTTTTATGACTGGTGAGGAGATATAAGCAGATATTTTAGCTTGACTTTTTTTTGTTTTTTAAACAGAGCACTAAATTATAAATTATCTTTGTACCAGCAAACATAACTAGATAATCACAGGCATCAAATCAAACTCGCAGTGGGGCAACACTCCCACAGGACTGCTTTCTGACAGGGTGCTTTTTATGGAAAGAGTCAGGGTACATGTCCTTAATTTATTTTTATGGTAAAAGATATTAAGAACTACACTCCATGGATCTTGGCTTCCAATTGGGCCTCTCTTGGTGCCACTTCAGAAAAGAGAGACGGCCTAAAGGGGGCGCTGTCACCCGGGCCACAATCTCCCCTAGTCTGTGTGAGGGGAGATTTTCTTAGCATAGGCCTGCGTCTCCAAGGATCATCACACACAAAAAAAAGAAAAACGTTAAATTACACAGAACCAGCAAGGGCAATAATTATGCAGTCACTTGCTAATAATGACTTTTACCATCTGTATGTTTTAAACTGCAAAATAAAGTATAGTTTTCAATATACATAAACACAATCACTAATTTCCTTTCTATTCACGGGACAACTTGGGGAACCCCTTGTAACTTACACCTGAATATATACCAACAACTGAACAATCATCTGAACTTGGAGATCAAACATCCTGACTGATTTACTGGCAGCCATATATGCTCCTTATCCAGAAACACTTCTATCATTTAGAGACAACGGTTAAGACTTCCTTTAATTTGCTGAAAATAACCATGTATTAATAAACTAATCCTAGTCAAAGCTGGATAACAGGTTGACTCCACATTTTTTTAAATCACATCATCAGTAAGAAAAATTATAAGAAAGAAGATACAATAGATCTAGCGAAAATGATTTTTTAATTGGCAAAAGTACAGATGAAAAATCCCTATATGTCTAACAATCAACACTTCTACCCAGACTTGATATATCTAAATTAAACTCTACCTTTTTGTGTTCATAAAGTCAGAGGTGTTATTTTCATCTACAGGAGCCAGAAATTTTAGAAAATTTGGCACAGAGGAAGAAGAATGAAGTTTTTTCCGCAGGGCATTACGGTAGGAGATGCTGAGAGTGTGGTTGAAAAAAAGAGTTTAGGATAAAGAAACACAAACACACAAAGTATAAAACATAACCTTCAAAACAGAAGAAACATTTTATAGTTCTAAGGCTAAGAAAATTAAAGCGGGTAAGAAATCAAAAATAGTTTACAAATGAGATTTAACTTGCATTTCAGTCAATAAAATTCTATTATTTTATATGAATGGAATCAATGAACTAATTAACAGACGTCAGTCCAGTTATATAAGGTGAATAAATTCTAAAGATGTGCTGTGCACCATTGTGCCTACAGATACAACACTCTGCCCATAGTTAGTAATACCGTGAACACGCAAAAAATGTGTTGAGGGTAGATCTCATGTAAAGCTTTCTGACCAAAATAAAAACAAAACCACAACAATAAAAAATTCAGTCTATCATCCAAAATGACTCCTTCCTTCCAAAGTAGAAAAATAATTTTCCTAAATTAATGAGGAAGTTTCTGATATGGCACAAATTGCAATGCATATGATCAAGCACATTGCTGTTAACATGTGTGTGTGTGTGTGTGTGTGTGTGTACACTAGGGCAGGGGAATGTGAAAATAAGTATATAAAAAATAATTTGCCATCAAGACTGTTTTCATAATAATTTTGAGGGAATTAATCAACAGTAAAATTAAGTAGATTCAAATGATAGACTGAAAATAGGAAAACCAAAACCAGACAAGCACACACACACACACACACGCACACACACACACACACACACAAGCGGTGGCCCCGGGGTCCTTGTGTGGACATTCAGCACACTCTCTCTGCGTGAGCATCTCAGGAAGACGAACGACACTGAACTTGCCATGCGGGTGGCTCACCTCTTTGGCACGGCATTGCCACTCTGTTCTCCACTTGGGTTATGTTTGAGGTACTTAAAGAAATTGGGCGAGGAGGCGGAGGGGGTAAGACGAGGTGGAGGAGCAGCTGAGGACTGACCTGAGCCACCTTCAGACTCGCCGACAGGGGGACGATTCCCACTAAATAGCAATTAGAGAGAAAGCAGGGGAGTTAAAGGCGGGGACGGAGCCGCGCAGGAAACGCAGAGGACACACGGAGGAAACAGGAACTGTCACAGTTAGAGGGTGCTCTCCTCTTCTGCGCCCCAATTCCTGCTGGCAAATGCAGCTCTCAGTCAAGAGGGCACCGTGCAAGGTCCCTCTTGATCACTTCCCACATGCCTATGTGCGCAAGAGACCCGTTTCCTCTACTCCTTTTTTAGGATCTGACGGGGGGAAAATTTTTTTTAATTAAAACAAAAGCAAAGGAAAGCAAAACAAAATCCAGAGTTTTAGAAATACATCTCTCGTCAAAATGAACAATAACCTGCCTTGAATGTCCAAGTCTCATTTCCTGTGCATAAGTGAGCAGAGAGTTCATGAGGGGGGAGCAAAGCCAAAGAGGCATGCTGGGGGACGGAGGAGGAGGGGGGACAGTACCGCGCCCCCTCATCACCCACGCCCCACAGGACCCTTTAGGAAGCTGCATTCTTAGGGGAGAAGGGAAACGGACTGTCAGGGACTTCTCATTTCCTGCCACCTCTGGCTTGTGTGAAACAGTGGGCTTATTAGCAAGAGGACTAGAAATCTCCAGACAGGAAAAGTTCCATTATCACTAAAGTGCCAGAAAAAGAGGGGTGGGAGCCAGTGGAGAGGCAGAATAAAAGGAGTGTGCGCGCAGGCTTTTAAGAAACATGACAAGAAGCCACAAAGCCTCAAACAAACTATGCTTGTCTCCAAAACATCACAGAATTGGATATTAGCTTCTGAAGCATGTCCTGCTTTGGGATCACAATTATCCAGCCAAATTCCAAAGAACCATCATATCTATTTTCAATGGCGTACGGAAAACAGAGCTGAGCGGCTCTACTAGCTCGTCTGAGATTGCTAGCACGTGTCACTGCTTCACCAGCAACACCTCCAACACCCACCCCCGTGTGGACTCTCCCTCCTCTGTGCAGGGCCTGCACCGAGACACACGTCCTGGCTTCTGTTGTCACCAAAATCAGGCAGCAGCTGCACACAGGTGTGGCCTACTTCAGCCTTCTAAGGTGGCGAGTTTTAAAATATTTTTAAAGTGATTTTTAAACATACCTCTGTGTCCATTCATGGTCTCTGACACTCGGAGTCAAATTAATTGCCAAGGGACCCCAGAAGGAAGCGGGAGAGCTTCTACTACTGTACTGCTTCCCCAGCTCTACAGCCAGGAAATCCCAACTGCTCACTAGAGCCCAATTATTAAAATTAGTAAGTCTTGTTCGAAGAATCCAGAACTCTCACATTGGAGGAGATTTTAGAGACCACCTATTGTGTCATACAGTGTCAACTGTGTCATACAGTGAAGTGAAGCAACTTTGCCCGGGCCACGGCCGGCTTGGGACAGAGCTAGGACAGAGGCCCCGGCATCACTGCGCCTCCAGCCAGGGCCTCCAAACGAGCAGACTCACCTGACCGCTCACTCACTACTTCCCTCCAGGCCAGCGGCAGAGTTCACGGTCAGGGCTGCCTCTCACTGTGTGAGGAGGGACCATTCTGCATCTTAAGGGCCATTTCTGCTCGTCTTACCTGCTTCCTCACTGTACTTGCACTTGAACAGGTAACAAGTATCTCTTACAACTACATATTTCCCAAGGGAGGAAGACGGAAGGAACACACTGCTTCGAGTTTTACCTTTTTAAGCCAAGAGTGAAACCTGCCTCAGGTTTCTCTTTTCACCCAACAGACATGCCTGGGATGCACATACCTGGTTAGTAACAGATATGCCCCAGCCATTAATACAACAAATCTACATTTTCAACAAATCTTACTTTCGTTCATGAGGCGTCTCTGTGCTCACTGAGTGGTACCTCACAAGTTTCCTTTGCGAGACCCCTGGAGATCCCTGTGCCTGCTGCAGAGGCTGCTGGCATTCCACGGGGACGTGACTCAGAGTGTTGGCGCGCCTCCTGAAGCCCTGCTGGGGTGACAGCAGGGCTGGCTCTTCTGCGGTGTGGCTCTCTGAGCCACTGGACAGGTCATCCGAGGAGCCCAGGAGTCTGAAGGAGCTCTCAGAGATGGGAAAGGCCTCCTTTTCACACACAGACGGCTCCTGGCAGCAGAGAGACAGCAGATCAGACACATGGCAAGGCACTTGTGGGATTTACACATCTCTAATTCCAGCGGCAGGAAAACATTTCAAAATGTAGGCACATCTTCTGATCACAGTGCCCTCTAGAGGCCACCAAAAGTATAAGGCGATAAAGGCCCACTAAATGTCTGCTCCTCGGAGACAAAACGTTAGCGTGCAGGACAAATGGGGAAACCGTCCAAGTGCAAGTGTGAAGGACATAAATTATAACAAGTAACTGCCCTAAGCAAAGCTGAAATAGTTCTCTTTCTAGAAAAGAGAGCTCTTTACTACTGCCTATAACAAGTATAGCGAGTGCCGTGTAACTTGTCTGCACAGTCTAAACAAAGCAAGTTCTTTATCTTGGCCAAGTGTGTTCATCCATGTGATACCCGCATTTTATGGCTCTCTCTGAATGTGATCTAATGTTTGGATTTAACTTGGTAATCTTGAGTGTTAAAAATTACATCCTATATTATTCTTAGATATGGAAAATCTCTCTCTAGGCACTTATTGACACGATTCAGGGCAAATCACTTAACTTCTTTCTGCACCTCAATTTCCTCATCTGTAAAAGGGTATAGTGAAAATTTATCTCACCAGGTTTCAGAATTAAGCAAGATAATACAACTAAAAGTACTTGTCTGCTGTTAAATGTTGTATAAATATAAGTTATTGTCTTATTAGGCACTCAGTGAATTTCCTGAGTGGGTACTCAAACACTTGTTGAGAATCATGACAATATTTTAATATCGTAGGCTCTCAAGATGCATACTTTTTCAAAGGAATGAACTACCACCACTCATGCTTAGCACTGCATGCCCAGGACGTGGTAGGGGCCAATATATTTTTCTCAAGTCAAAAAATATAAAATAACTGATGTGTAAAACATTGATGACTAATAAGAACCTGCTGTATTAAAAAAAAAAAAAAAATATATATATATATATATATATATATATATATATGAAGAAGTGTACCAGCTTGTCCCTGCTGAAATTACTAGAAGGGATGAATAAATCAACATGAAAAGAGCAAAAAGGAATGAATGCATCTAATAACAGTGGACTGGAAAATCTAAATTCCACCTGCTCATTTGACCTGCAGTTTGAGTGTCTCTTAGATGATAGGTATTAAGGATTTTAATTTAAAAAATTAAATTTATGTTTATTGAGGAGAAAGGTTATATACACTTAATTTTGTAGGAATTAGATTTTAAAAGCTTAATTCCCAACACATTATGAAATGTTAAACGGTAACTTAAATTTTTCATTCTTCAGGACTCTACAGTTACCAAGATTCTTTTAATTTAAGGATTTAAAAATGTGTTTAAGACAATTCATCAAGCAATCTCCATCACGCAAACCTATTCATCTCAACTCTCATTAACGTCCTTCCAAATTATGTGGAAGAGCTAACCCTTAGCTTCATCTAACACCTGAAAGGGCCACTGGATGTTCAGCTTCTTTGCTTCCAGACGATCAATTTACTGGAAGAGATCCAATTACATAAAAGCACACTTTTAACAACAGTTTCTCAACGTCAGGATGAACAAACGACATAAAGAATAGCATAGAGCCACACACACAATACACACAAATAGGTTCTGAAAAGCTGCATTTCCCTTAGAATTACCCTAGAAATTCAAACCATGTGTATATTCTAGATCTGTGATTTGAAGAAGAATAAAAAACAAGCAATAAGACTTACTGGAAAAGTCACTTGAGTGACATGAATTTCTTCACAGCACCTTTATTGGAACTAATCTGGAACGCCCTCTTTCCTGTCCACTTCCACGGGTGCAATTCCTATACTTTCTCCAAGATTTATCAAAAGCACTACTGCTCCCCTCTCCAAGCTTTCTCTGGTTCCACTGACCAAAAATAGCTCCCCTTCCTCTTGCTCCTGTGACAGCTAAGCTACCATGGCTCTTATTTGAACTCAGGCTCACAGCTACTCTACTCGACGCTGGTGTATCTGTCGCCTCTCCTACCAGATGAGTTCCTTCCTGCAGGGTAGAAGCTGTCTTTTTCATCTGTATCCAGCAGAAAAAAAAAAACCCAAAACATTTCCAAACTTCAAATGAATTGTGGGTAGAATCAGTATGGAGGAGATGAATTTAAATAGACCACTAGATTCTAACTTAGAAAATCATATTCAGGGCATTCCCTGGTGATCCAGTGGTTAGGACTCCACACTTCCACTGCCTAGGGCGTGGGTTCAATCCCTGGTCAGGGACCTAAGATCCCGCAAGCCACACAGCACAGACGCCCCCCTCTCCAAAAAAATAAAACCATATTCAGAAGACTGGCGTCTAGGGACTTGCTCCCCTAAGTGGGTCCACAGACCAGCGGCATCAACATCACCTTGGAGCTTGTCAGAAATTGGCCATTTCAGGAATCACCCCAGGCCTACTGAATCAGAATCTGCATTTTAACCAGATCCCGTTAAAGATGCACCTTAGAAATTGAGAAAGCACTCAACTGAGGCAGTGTTTCTCAAACTATAGGCTGTAACACATTGGTAGGCAGTGATATCAATTTCGTGGTCTGCCACAAACTTTTTAAAGCAATAGCAAATACCAGTATGTATCACATGTTTACAGTAAATATCATTTTGTGAAATCTTATTTTCATTTTATGTGTGAGCATGTAGGTATGTGTGTTTCTGAACTAGTTTGCAATGTTAAATGTGTAAATTACTGTTGGTTATGGTCTAAAACCTTTGAAAGCCACATGCCCAGGAGGAAGCACAGAAGAACTTTGATTCCTGTGGTAAGGAGCTGGCCTCCACAACAACTCCCCCTCTTTCCATCCCAGGGCACTCTGACATCCCCAGCACAAAACCCGAAATCCACTTTTCTGGTGGGTAAAAAGTTGAACTAACTAGGTTTAAGTACGCTTATATATTTAGAAAGCAAGAAATTAAAACAAGGACATAGACACAGGTCTGCTACCAAAGAGAACCGCTGGCTTGCTCACTATCACAAAGCTGTGCTTGGTGGCAGACGCGAGGCGTGAGGCTTATTTATAAAAATAGTGATGTTTAATTATAATCATAGAGTCAGGCAGAGGACAGAGTAAGTTTCAGGAATTTAGGTTGCATACTTCTCATAATTCGTAAACCCACGTTTGAGGTTTTCCCAATTATTCTTAATATTTCATTTCGATTTCACTGGAAAACCTACTAAAGAAAGAAATCCATTGATCACTTGTGATTAATTAGATCTCAGTGGCCTGAAATTGTGCTTTTTCCTCTTTGCTTATGCAGCAGCCCTCTGTTTTGGTATGTACAACTTTTTGGCTAGAGTAGGACTGCACAATCAGCCCTCCCCCTGCATTATCAAGTCCAGAAGCACCAAATTTCTCATGATTGGAGCTATGAGGCTTCTTTTGTTCCTTTTGATAGGCCCGGTATATAGGAGATGAGCAAGACCCATTTGCTGGTTTCTTCAGGGTGTCATATAAAAAAAAAAAAAACGTGCTTACTTTGCTGGTGCTACCTAATGTGCTAGACACGGAGCTGTCCAGATCCAGACTGGCGGAGTGCTCCTGGAGGCCTCTGGCTTTATTACCCTACGGAAAGAAAAGCACTCGAGTTATGACCCCTGAGGCTTTTGCAAAGGCATCTGCTAGAAGCAACCTGGTCTATTTAAATAAGTTCAGGAAAAATGCATCTACTGGGAAACTCTGCTGAGCACATATGTGCATGAAGACAATCAACATTTCTGTCTTTTTTTTTTTTTTTTTTTAACCAAACTAAATGTTCCAAAGCACCTTGTGGGTTAGTCATTTGGCAGGGATGATGGGCAGAAGAGACAACACGTCTAGAAGAAAAGCAAGCACTGAGGTGCGCACACTCAACAACAGAGTCCCCCCTCTGAGTCACACGGTGTCATGACCCACCAGCCTATGACACACAAACCACAATCTCTCGGTCTGGGAGCTCTCAAAGGCAGCCCCACCCCAACTCTGGCTTTGTAAATGAACTGCTTTTAATTATCTGTAAGGCTGCTGTGAAATTCTCAGAAACATCTCCATACAAAATAAAATTTGTAACAAAAAAAAATGTTTCAAATGGAGTGGTTCGTGAAATAAAAGATAACTATAAGAAGATACTGCAAGCTCCAGAAAGGTGTGAAACTTTGAGAGAAAAGAGAACTTTTATTTCTTAGTGTAAAAGGTATTTACACTCACGCTGGGGTTGGCGTGTGGGGGGAGGGGAGCGGGGGGTGGTAGTAATTTCTTAAAGAACTCCCAGATCGGTACACACGTATACTCTGTTCTTCCTATAGAGCTGCAGGCCACAAACTTTTTCCGTAAAGGGCCAGATAATAAACCTCTTATGCTTTGTGGACCATATGGTATCCGTGGCAAGTACTCAACTCTGCAGAAAAGCAGCCTTAGACAATAGGTGAATGAATTGATGTGGCTGTGTTTCAATAAAACTCTATTTACAAAAACAGGAGGTGAATGGTATTTGACCCAAGGACCACAGTTTGCAGATCCTGCTATAAACAGTTTCAGACACATAACGATAGCAGCTAACGATAAAAATTTTTTTTATAATGTAATCAGAATTTTTATTTATTTATTTAAATTTATTTATTTATTTATGTATTTTATTTTTGGCTGCATTGGGTCTTCGTTGCTGCACGCGGGCTTTCTCTAGTTGCGGCGAGCGGGGGCTACTCTTCATTGCGGTGCTCAGGTTTCTCATTGCGGTGGCTTCTCTTGTTGGGGAGCACGGGCTCTAGGCGCATGGGCTTCAGTAGTTGTGGCTCGCCACCTCAGTCGTTGTGGCTCGCAGGCCCTAGAGCGCAGGCTCAGTAGTTGTGGCGCACGGGCTTATTAGTTGCTCCCCGGCATGTGGGATCTTCCCGGACCAGGGTTCGAACCCATGTCCCCTGCACTGGCAGGCAGATTCTTAACCACTGCGCCACTAGGGAAGTCCCACGATAACAATTTTTAAACTGTACCTAGTGACACTAGGGAGAATGGAACCCACACCTTGGTGTATCTAATCCATGCTCTTTACAGGGACTGGCCAACAAATAACATTCTTTTGGGAGACAAAAATTCCATAGAATACAAAAGAGTAGAAAACACTTTTTAACCTGGACCAAGTTAAAAACTGAATTTTCAGTGTAGGTAACATTTTTCTAACACTGAGAAGACACCAAAAAAGGTTTCACCCTTCTAAACTGTATGATGAACCCTGATGGAACGAAAGCAAAGAACTGAATTTCATGCTCTCTCAAAAACAGTGATTTAACTTAAACTAGGAGGAATTATGCCACTTACCCGGGACAAAATACTTTCTAAAGACTCCGTTAAAGATCTCTTCGCTTTGTTTTTCAGCATATCTAGCCTAAATCGAGTGGCACTAGATGGTAATTCACTTCCAATATTCTCTGCTGCAATCTGTGATGCCTAAAAGGCGAAACAATGGAAAATTAAGTCACTTAGATCTTCCTTCCCTCCTTCTTTCCTTCCTTTTTAAAGGACTGAAAAATCTCTAGAATGCATCTTTTTGACCTCAGGTCACTTTTTCTGTGACCTCTTCTCATCTGCTCCTTGGTGACATGACTGCAAGTCCAGGAAATAATTTTGCCTCAAAGAGTTGCTTTGCCTACTCCAAACAAAATAAGGAAAAGTGCTTAGAAACTAATCAGTTAACAAAGCAGTTTAGAGCCTGGGCTCTGCGGCTGGATCAGGGACATGTCATTCACTAGCTGTGGCCTTGAGCAAGTTTCTTACTTTCTGTGAGCCACAATTTCGTCTTCTGTAAATTGAGATCAACCTCACGATCTAACCATAGTGCTATGTTGTGAGATTAAAACACGTAAAGCATGTAAAACATTGGGCACAGCTTCTGGTACAAAGGTAGCTATGATTAGCTTTTCAAAGTAAAGTAACAACTTACTTTTGGGGGCATTTCAGAGGGTGAGACAAAATAAATCTAATCAGCTGAAGAATCCATCCTCTCTGCCTACACTAATCCCTTCATCCCCTTCTACAGAATCCTGTCTTTTTCCTCTCTCCCACCTATTGTTTCCATCATCCCATTCATTCTCCTCTGCAACCAAGTCTCTCCCTTAACTGATGGGAACATGAAACTGACAACATAAAAGTTTGTTTGCCAATCACAAAATGAAGTTTAATGTTACTTATTAACAAAGAGGTATGCTTAAAAAATACAAAAAGAACCTCTACTCTAGATTAAATTGTTTCTTCTATGGATTCTTACCTGAATGCTTCCTGCTAGATGATGATTTTGTTAGAAAAATACTCAACCACATCCTCCATTACTCTAAACCCCAACTATTCTTTGTTGCTGTTACATAGTCAAGCATACAGAAAAATGTGCAGATTAATACAATAAATGCCTTCATACCACCTCCAGCTTTGGCCAAGTTAACATTGTGCAGCTGTTGAGAAGAACAGTGATGGGCACAGGCTCTGGCAGTCACTCAACAAATACTGACTAAGTCATGTAGCATGGGTGGATGCCTTACTAGTTGCAATTTGGTCCTGTGCAATCATTTACCAAGAGTAAGAGTCTATCCAGACTGCAGTCAGCCTCTAGAGCAAAGGGAATTACCCACAAAGAACCCTCAGGGGCCTGCATTTGACTCAATACCAGTTCACTCACGAAGTTAAGAAACTGTAGACCTGCTTTCAAACTCATAACCAAAGTTTTCCTAAAAAAGAAGCATTTTTAACTGTTCTGATATATACAGAAAATACTGGCTAAAAGACTAGTAGAACGTAGTAGATCCTACATAGAAAGAACAAAAACTGCACTTGTGTTTTTCTTTTTATAAACCAGGCCATAAGAATCTCTATCTACTTACTTCAATGCTGCTTCTGCTCTCCTCTACCATCTAAAAAGGTTCTTTTCTATGTCTATCACTGTAATTCAAATGCAGTCTGAAAATAATTCACATTTAGAAAATAATTCACGTTTAGAAAATAATTTGCACTTAGAAAATAACACACTCCTTGTTTATTTTAAACTAAGCATCTAGAAGTTTCTCCTTTGAAGATGATGCTGGTTCTTGGATAAGTTTCTAGTGTGGGGCTCTAGAGTGAATTTGTACTGCAGTCCTCACATTGCCCATCCCAAGACAGATGGGTAAACTCTAAGCATGAACGTTTGGAGCCAAGTTTTAAATTCTGAAGCTACTATGAAGTTCTCAGTTCAGAGCCCACCATCCAGTAGTGTCACAATGTATCCACCATCAGCCTTATTCAGAATAACCAGCACCTAGAAATAGCTAAGGTGCCCATCAAAAGGAGAATGGAGAAACAAACTGTGCTATTGACACAATGGAATAAAAAGGAACATAATTACTGATTTATGAAGCAACAAGGACGAATATCAAAAACATTATGCTAAGCGAAAGAAACCAGAACTAAGAGAGAACATACTGTATGATTCCATTTATAGAAAGTTCTAAAACAGGCAAAACTAATCTGTCGTAGAAAAAAAAAATCAAAACAGTGGTTGCCTGGGGGAGGGAGGGAGTGAGGACTGACTGGGTATGGGGGTACTTTCTGGCATGATGGAGACGTTCTATACCTTGATACGGGTCTGGGTTACCTAAATATACGAAATCCTCAAAACTCAACAAATGGTACACTCAAGATTTGTGCAACTTACTATATGTAAATGTTATCTCCAAGAAATTGTAAATAAATACCAAATTCTAATTAATGATATGCATACTGAAGTGTTTAGGGATCAAGAGTACTAGTATCAGAAACTTACTCTGAAAAACATCAAAAATAAGGTGGAGTAATAGATGGATAGCTATATGGGAAAGCAAACATAACAAAACGTTTAAAATGGTTTCACCCAGATGGTGGGTACGTGAGTGTTCACTGTGTGATTCTTTCAACTTTTTGGTATGTTTGAAATTTTTTGTAATAAAATGTCAGAAAAAAAAAAAAAAGAAAGAAAAACTTATCTACTGGATAACGGACCCAGACAAATCGATGAGTGGTTACATAACATTAGATTTTGTTAGTTAATCATTATGCCCTTTAGGAGCTTAAGATAATGTCCTTGGACCTCAGACACGTGAGCTCCACACTCTCTAGCAAACGACTTGACCTCTGTTCCTCATGTCCTTGTCTCTAACATAGGTATTATACCACCTATCTCAAAAAAGTTGTTGTAGAAAAAAATGGAATAATTCATGTAGAGAATTAAAACTATACCTAGTACATGGGAAACGTTCAATCAGTGGCAGTTGATTTAATATTATTAATTTTTGTACCAGCTCAGCGAATACAAGCAGAAATGATATGTCCACTGATTCAAACATGACACTCTCTAAACTTTATTAATTTATATGTCCTTGCCCAAACTGAATCCTTTCCCATAAGATCAAAGGATTCATTCAGTTTGTTTTCTACTTTACGGAACGATTCCTCCGACAGGTATCCAACACTAACGCTTCAGTCTGAAAAGCATGTACAGTGTGGCATCACCAGAGCTCTGAGAATTACAGCCCTGAGACTGTGCTCATTGCCTTCCATCTACAATTTTTTTTTTTTTTGCGGTACGCGGGCCTCTCACTGTTGCGGCCTCTCCTGTTGCAGAGAACAGGCTCCGGACGCGCAGGCTCAGCGGCCATGGCTCACGGGCCGAGCCGCTCCGCGGCATGTGGGATCTTCCCGGACCGGGGCACGAACCCGTGTCCCCTGCATCGGCAGGCGGACTCTCAACCACTGCGCCACCAGGGAAGCCCTTCCATCTACTTTTGAAGGCTGGTGGACGCAGACCACAATTCTACCTCTCTCTAGGTCAAGTCAAAACACATTTTCAAAGGTTACAGGAATTTTTAGGAGCGATAAGAACATAACCAAGTCCATGTGGTTAAATTATCTGGTAGCAGAAAGTGAGAGCAGGAATCTACCGGTGAACTCTCAAAAGTTCATCTGATTGATCTATAAAGCAGCTGCGGCTCTGAAAAGCCGAGCTCGGAGCCCAAGAGGGTATCCAGCCTAGGGGACACCCAACTACTGCCCAGACACCAGTGCCACTTGGTGAGACTTGGTCTTCTTTACATTAAATTCTGTTTTCAAATGAGGGGAAGAAAAAAGAAACATTAATATATTTCTTTACTGTACTAGTCTATGCCCAAATCATAAAGATACTACCCTGTTCCACAAAAATGAGATTGCATTTAGGGCAAAACTTTCCATCCACCATAAACACTTCATTCTCCTTTCTAGCCATTATAAATTATTTCAGAATTATCAATTTCCTGTTGGAACAAGTTAGAGTGACTCAGGAAAGAGAAAATCAAACACAGAATAACTATCAGTGGCACAAGAGAAAAAAGGAAAGAAAATGAGAAAAGAAATATGTTGAAAAGTGAACTAGGGAATTAACTGAAAACTTAGACTGGGTGGCCCATCCAAAAGTGAACAGGAGGATAACAGAACTTGCCCACTCTCTTAAGGGTACCGGCTGAGAAGGGAGGAAGGTCAACACACAAAGGCCAAAAACACAGTGTACTGATATCAGGGTCACAGCTAAGGGGCCCTAGAGTTGGCCGATGAAATTAAAAACAATGTTGGCCACTGTATGTGACCAGGAGTTCAGCAAAGGCACATAATTGCCAAAGCCAGCTGGAAAGCAGAAAGCAAACGGGGAGAGTTGCTGTGTGTGCATCCAAATAAGACTGCATCACGGTTACGTTACCGGAAAAGCAGGGGCTGTTTACAGGGAAACCAGCAAGAGGAGAGCACACAACTGAGCATTAAAACACCTTGAGAATAAGCACTCAGGAAGTGTTCTCTTTATAAAAAAGGCAATATACTTCTGGAAATTAAAGACCCTTTGAACATACTTCACTGATTCCTCTCTAGGCCTTCTGGCCTAACAGTAACTTAAACAAATATAAAATGCATGTTTAGAAGCTATAATGCTTATTATAAATTGACTTACAGAGAGTCCAAAAGAAATAGGAAAATGGTCCTGAATCCCAAACTCGAAGCTCTTCAAAGACAGAGACCTGCAGGCAGCCCCAGCCTCTGAGATAGCACCCCTCACACAGAAAAGCTGAACAGAGCTGTGGAAAGAGAGGATAGGAGGCCAACTCTGCACCTCCAGCATATGAAGTGGAATTAACGGAAGCTCCATATCTGAATAGCACGTAAACCAGGCTAATACTGTATGTGATTTATCAGTAGTGCTATCTTCTATTCACATTGCATTTTTATTACAAAGAGCTTCCGGGCACTTTATGTAACTCTGAAGGCAGCTGTACAATGTCAGTCCCACTTAATCAAGGAGAAAGGTGAGGTGACAGGGACTGGCTCCCAGCAGGTCAAGGAGCTTTCCTTGCTAGCATCCACTCGTAAACTCCACTCTCGATGCTCTACACCAGTCCCCTCGTCAGAGCAACTACTCTGCTCCCACTACAACACAGACAGAAACTCTCCTCACCTTTTCTAAGCACAATCTAAATATTCCCCAATTTCCCCTACATGTGTAACAAAGGAAAATAAAATTCAGGGAGAAAAAGAAGTTTCAGAGCTTCAGAAAATCCTCAAGACTCTGTTTTACACAGTGTCCTGGTAAAATTTTAAGAAGAGAGAAAAATGCCATACCTGCTTTATCTCCCCAATATGGACGTGAACTTTTTGTTTCTCTTCATATAAACATCTCAGGAAAGAAACAATCAATTCATTCTCTCGCTGCTCATTTCTTGGTCTCAATTTCTTAATGAAAAAAAAGAATATATTACATTAATTTTTAATTGTCACCAAAACTGCTAACCCACCCTTTGAAAATGCTACCAGCTTCCACTCATCAACTAGTGCTTTTACCCAACCACCTCACTAGGGGGCACCAATGATCCTACAACTGGAGATAATTTTTAAAAAGAAACAGATAACGAAGCCAGTGGGCCAGATTTAGCCTCTGACCTCTGATGGCCTTATACCTAAAATAAACATTTCACATCAGATAGAGGCATAGTCAAAATATTTAATAAACAGTCTTAAAAACATAAGAAAAGGACAAAAATCTGTGTAAACACCCAGAGGTCAAGAGCCACAATGGTTACTTATTTATAAGCTCTTATGGTCAGGGAACTGGAAAGGAAACCAGCAACTGGATCCAGGGCCATGGTTCCTTCCACATGTCAAACACGTTCATCATGAAGCACTTCCTGGAAGCCCCACAAGGCATACACTTGCACACAAAATTTCATGGCATGGACTCAATTTTTTCCCTCTGGTTTTTAAAAAATTATTTGTATGCCTTTTATTTTTCAGGCAAGGCGGTGGCAAAGCACACTGGACTAGAAATCAGGTCATGTAAGTTCAAGGTGCTGCCTAGAAGTGAGGCCAAAGGCTTGTCATTTAAGCTTAGCTTCTCTGTCTGTTCAAATGAAGATTATGCACAAAATACACTCCAAGGTCTTTTCCAGCCCCAAATTCTTTGGATTTGAAATACCAAGAGTTCATGTTTAGAAGACCATCTAATTTAATGCATTCAATTATTTTCCCTGAATATGAAGAAAACAAAACTGAATTACTCTGGAGATAAACAAAGTTTCTGGTCTATAAACTTTAGAAAAATATCTTTTTTTTACAATGACAGTTATCCATTGCCCTGCTCCTCCCTCCCTCCCTACCCCAAACCTCTAGCCTGCCCTTTAAATCAAAGTCAGGGTGTCTAATAAACAGATCAATTACACAAGCATCCGAGTCCGGGTCAATGCTGCTCTTGGCAGCCCAGCTGACTAAGGAACAATTTTACCCCTCATGTCACAGACGAGAAGCATTCTAACATTCCTCTCTTAAAGACAAAGATCATTTTAAATAAGTTGTTCCTGTTACCCAAGGAAACTGATAGTAAATGATTAGAAGAGGTTGTTTTCAATGAGGACTTCCTGTTCTTTCAAATTTCAGATTTAAGGATTAAATATTTTAAAGGTCAGAATAGATGTTCTCAATCTGGATGCCAAGCCATGAACCTTGATGTTATAAATTTTTACATGTTTTATGCAACACGCGGGTTGTTCCAGAGGAAGTTTCCATCAGATCTTCAAAAGAGGAAAGTGGTAGTCACATACCACAATCCTAACTTAATTTTGCTGACCTCGGGACGGTTACAGATATACTGTGAGTCTAAAAGCCCCCAGAGACAACAGGAACTTTCACTCATTGCTGGTAGGAACATGATATGGTTACAGCACTTTGGGAGCCAGTTTGGCAGCTTCTTACAAAACTAACCATGTTCCCACCATGTGATCCAACAATCATACTGCTTAGTGTTCACTTGAATGAGTTGAAAATTTATGCCCATACAAAAGCCTGCACAAGAATGTGTATAGCAGCTTTATTCATAATTGCTAAAATTTAGAAGCAACCAGGTGTCTTTAAACAGGTGAATGGATAAACTGTGGTACATCCAATGAAATATTACTCAGCACTAAAAAGAGCTATCAAACCACAAAAAGACATGGAGGAACCTTAAATGCATATCGTTAAGGGAAAGAAGCCCAACTGAAAAGGCTACACAAAGAGTATGATTCTAACTATGTGACATTCTGGAAAAGACAAACTATGGAGACAGTAAAAGATCAGTGGTTGCCTGGGGTTTGGAACAGAGGTGGGGGGCTGGGGAACAGTGAAAAGGTGGAGCATAGAGAATCTTTAGGGCAGTGAAACAATTCTGTATGATACTATAACGGTGGATACATGCCATCAAGCATGTATCAGAACCCACAGAATGTACCACACCAAGAGTTAACCCTAATGTAAACTACAGACTTTAATCACTAAAGATGTATCAATATTGGCTGATCAACTGTAATAAAGGTACCACACTAAGACAAGATATTAACAGGGGAAACTGGCTTGGGGAAAGGGCATGAGAAGTTTTATGGGAACTCTCTGTACTTCCACCCACTTTTTCTGCAAAACTAAAACTACTCTAAAAAATAAAGTATATATATATTTTAAAGTCCAGGAAAGAGAAGCAGGCAGGAATCACGAAGCCTCTGAGCAGGCACCCAAGAGCTGACCCATTCTTTCTTCTCCTATTCGTCAATCAAACCTTTGGGCTGCTCTCACAAGAAAATTTGTATTTTTGTTGGAGAAATTCTTCGTAATCACTTATTTCAACATATCAAAAAAGGCTAAGAATGCAGTAACAGGAGAGGAGCATTATTAATACATTCTCTTTCCCTCAGCATATACGTGAAAGAAACTACTTGAATGGACAGAAAATGAGACTAAACTGAGCACAATGCACTACCACAGCTGCTGCCCAGACACTGCATCAAGGAGCTCGTTAAACATCACAGGGGAAAGTCAGTGAGGCTGAGAAGACCGTGTCTGTGGTGTCATACAAGGTCAAGAAATAAACCCTTTCTTAAAATAACTGAAACATGACTAGGGGCTACCCTGCTATTTAGTGAAAACGATTAGCAAGGTATCATCTCCTGAGTGCCTCCCAGGGAACTTCACCATCCTGCAAAGGGACAAATCATTATTTCCTGAAGATGATTTAACTTTATAAACAGTCATGACAGAGAGACAGGTCTGAGGAAAATAATGGGGAATGAAGTTGGATAACATCCCTTTGCAGTCAAAAATTAACTTGCTTATTACTCAAAGTTAACCTCCGGAGTCAGGAGTCAGGATGGTGGTCACCTGGGGCAGGACCCAGGGGGGATTCGGAGGGACTGGACACGCTCTATTTCCTGATCTGCGTGCTGCTGCACAGGTGTATTCATCTTATAAAAATTCACTGACGGGGCTTCCCTGGTGGCGCAGTGGTTGAGAGTCTGCCTGCCAATGCAGTGGACACGGGTTCGAGCCCTGGTCCGGGAAGATCCCACATGCCGCGGAGCAACTGGGCCCGTGAGCCACAACTACTGAGCCTGCGCTCCGCAACAAGAGAGGCCGCGATAGTGAGAGGCCTGCGCACCGCGATGAAGAGTGGCCCCCGCTTGCCGCAACTAGAGAAAGCCCTCGCACAGAAACGAAGACCCAACACAGCCAAAAATAAATAAATAAATAAATAAATATTTTTAAAAATTCACCTACAGCCAATATTTTATAACTATAGAGTATAACCTTTAAAAATTGTGAATCACTACGTTGCACACCTGAAACTTATGTGATATTATAAATCAACTATATCTCAAAAAAATTTTTTTTATTTCATTGAACTATATACCACTGATCTGTGTGGTTTTCTATAGTTATATTTCATTTTTAAAAAAAGAACAATATAAAACAATTAATTGCCTGTTAAAAGCAACAAAGCCATTGTTGTTACGTGTTTCTTAACCTCATTTCTATGAGGGCGGGCCTATAAATTGGTTGTAAAAGCAACTTGAAATCCATTTCTAACACTGCCTAATGAATACCAGAATGCTGAGAAAGCCTATGGTCTTCTGAGGAGTCTACTGAAAATGGCAGTGCTCACCTGGACTACAGCCTGACATCTTCTTTAAAAAGTATAATGAAATCTTGTAAGAAATAATTTTAAAACCATGGAAAAATCCAATTAAGCTGCTCTAGATTCTGTATAAAGTGAAAAAGAAATTCCTCCAACCACTTACCGTTAACTTGTGAAAAGTCACATTATTTAATCCGTTATCGACATCTACTGACTATAAATCTACTTGATTTACCTGCTGAGTATTAATTAAGTCATTCCCTGAAATACACTCATTCAGATGAAGAGAATTCGACTTTGAGACAGTTTCTTTACTAGCCCAACTCAGACTGAAAGCAACTTCTCCCTGAGGACGACCTATGTAAACTCAGCACACTCAGCCAGCAGGGGACAGCACCTGGACAGAGCCAGACCCCACCCAAGGGTCACATTCTCATTCGCCCACTTAGACATGTTTGAAAAATGTACACTTCAAAAAGGTCCTAAATTAAAACGTGGCTCTGCAGTGTCTTGAGTCCTCTTAGAAGGGTTAGCACACCCACAGGCCCATCTGGCACCAAGTTCTCCTCCCAGAGCTCAAAGTCAAAGCCGGCTTACGTGCAGCAGTGATACTTCCCCAGCATCATTCGCACAGGGGTTAATGATTTCTTTCTCTTTATGGTTCTGTTTGGGTTGCACTTTTTTTTTTTTGCATGAAACATTTATTTACAAAAACACTGAATATATATGTTCTAATAACTATTTAAGCAATCGTGTACTACTGATTTCAATAGTAATTACATTTGTTTTATAAAAATTTGCCCTCGGAGAATTTCCTCAGAAACAAATCATTCTCCAGGAAAAAAACCATACAAAGGAAAATATTAACCATTCTATTTAAAAGAGGTATCATGACACTGCAAAGCCACCTTTTTCCTTATGATCTGTTTGAAATGCATGATTTTCAAATGCATTAGCAGGAACTACTACCTAAAAAGAAACTAGTGACTTGGTTTATAAAATATTTTATAAAAAAACAAGAATGGTCATTGAGTAAATAATAAGACTACCAATAAGCCATCAGAAGAAGAGATCCATGTTAAATTTGTATTATTCAAAAAAGAGCCACACCTACAATGATGGAGGACAAAGTACGAGCTGGCTTTTCAAAGCCAATGAACAATGACTTCCCTTTGGTCTTTAAACCAATCAAAAAATTACAGAGCCTTCTACAACACCACACAGGGATCCCAGGATATTAACTGAATCCATTTTTTTAAAACAAACTTTTGTCACTGATTTTCTCTAAAGCCTCTTTGCCATTTTTTATATTGAGTGTCTCACACTCACATGGATCAAAGAGAATCTCAAAATCACATCCATCAGGAACATAATCATGGCTGCAGAAGGGTATCTGGGGTATTACCTATCCTGATTCACCACACTGTTTTGGGGAAAGCTACACAGTGCTATCTAAATAAAAAAGAAAACAAACTCACATTAGGGGAGGAAGGTGCATCTTCTATGCTTGCTAGAAAGATATTCCCCAAAGTGACTTGATGGCACTAAAACAGCAAAGTGGGCTAGCATCAGATGAAAAAGGACCCAGCTCTGGGCTTCCCTGGTGGTGCAGTGGTTAAGAATCCACCTGCCAGGGCTTCCCTGGTGGCGCAGTAGTTGAGAGTCTGCCTGCCGATGCAGGCGACACGGGTTCGTGCTCCGGTCTGGGAAGATCCCACATGCCATGGAACGGCTAGGCCCGTGAGCCATGGTCGCTGAGCCTGTGCGTCCGGAGCCTGTGCTCCGCAACGGGAGAGGCCACAACAGTAAGAGGTCCGCGTACCACAAAAAAAGAAATAAAAGAAGAATCCATCTGCCAATGTAGGGGACATGAGTTCGAGCCCTGGTCCAGGAAGATCTCACATGCTGCGGAGCAACTAAGCCCATGTGCCACAACTACTGAGCCTGCGCTCTAGAGCCCGTGAGCCACAACTACTGAGCCCGTGTGCCACAACTACTGAAGTCCACGCGCCTAGAGCCTGTGCTCTGCAACAAGAGAAGCCACTACAATGAGAAGCCGATGCACCGCTACGAAAAGTAGCCCCCGCTCGCCGCAACTACAGAAAGCCTGAGCGCAGCAACGAAGACCCAACGCAGCCAAAAATAAATTTAAATAAATTTAAAAAAAAAAAAGAAAAAGGACCCAGCTCCCATCACAAATGCATTAACAATCAGAAGCAAATTGTCCATCCATTTATGAATTCCAAGTACAAATCACATTAAATTTGTCTGAGAGTACTGTGTACTTAGAACGCTAAAGATCCTTTAAGAAAAAACAAAGTAGTGTGTCTCAAGTCAATTCAAAAGAAAATAAGAAAACTTAAAGGCAATTGGAAATTGTGAAAGTTACATTCTAAGCGATTTATGAAATTAAAAAACCCTTCCTATGCTCTCCTTCAAACATACATATGCCAATCCTACTGCAGAAGATCAAGGGAAGGAGAACTCGAACATGTGATTAAAAAGACAAAGACAATTCTTTAATTTTTCACTCTAACAGAAAACAGATCACGGGCCCTGTCTGCAGCCTCTCCCTCAGTGAAGAGGGAGAGGGAACCTACAGTCTAGACTTGCTAGCCATCTTGTTTTGTTTAAAGACTTCTCTATGTGCAGAACCCCTGGCACTCTCCTCCCCACTAGAGACTTATGCTTTGTTCTGATGTACTCTCCTCCCTAGGAAAGTGCCACAAAACCACAGAAAATGCCCCTCGGCTAAAGCAGACATGAAATTTTTGATGAGCTCATTAAAGATTCATAATGAACAGACTATGGGCATGCCAGCACACACAGTGTGGTTTCCCGAGATAAGTGCATCTAAACGCAAGGACGACAGTGCGGTTCTGGGCTTAATGCAGAAAACCGATGAGCTTGGGTTTTCTTCTGTATTTTGTTTTTACGTTTAGGTTTGATATACCATATAGTAGGTAACACCTAAATTTATTTTCAAAACTGAAAAAAAAGAGCGAGGAAGAAAAGTTATGTTCAATTTCATGTACAAAATGTTATATCCTTAAGACTCTCACACTTAGGGATGAAATCCCAAGCGGGAAGGAGCTAGCAGAGGTCTCCCAGGGAGGGCTTCCCTGGTGGCGCAGTGGTTGAGAGTCCGCCTGCCAACGCAGGGGACACGGGTTCGTGCCCCGGTCTGGGAAGATCCCACATGCCGCGGAGCGGCTGGGCCCGTGAGCCATGGCCTCTGAGCCCGCGCGTCCGGAGCCTGCGCTCTGCAATGGGAGAGGCCACAACGGTGAGAGGCCCGCATACCGCAAAAAAAAAAAGAGGTCTCCCAAGGAGAGCAGTGTTCAGGGACCAAAATCCAGGTCCCCTGTCTCCCGGGCTGAGGCTCTCTCCACTTTATTATTTCCTTTCTCTCGTTCCTTAAGGGAGAGTTCCCCTGGTTTAGTAGTTTTCACGTGAAAAACCAAGCCCTGATAGGAATCTGCAATTCTGACCTGGCCCCTGTCCCGAGGCTGTTAAAGCTTAAACCTAGAGGAACTCAGGCCCACTTCCTTGAGGATCTAACAGGTTTGCTTTGCTATTTTTTATAAATAAAATTTCACAGAGAAGCTGCCTCCTTTCTTCCTTCTGCAAATTTAAAACCAGTACTGTACCTGAACCTCCTCAAAAATAGTTGCTTGCTCCTGATTAGTTAATGTTGTCAGGTGCTTCTGGAGTTCTAGTTTGGTTTTGGAAGAATTCATTCCTATTAAGAGAAAATAAGAGACATGAGAACACTCTAGGTAACAGTTACGAGGTAGAGTTAACACTTCCCATGCTCACTCCCCCCTCTTACATGACTTAACCACCTTCTTAAGGCTTCTGAGGTTTTATGGAAAGTCTAATCAATAATGTCGGTGATGATGATGACCCTGACAACAAGCAACATTTTTTTTTTTTTTGGTACGCGGGCCTCTCACTGTTGTGGCCTCTCCCATTGCGGAGCACAGGCTCTGGACGCGCAGGCTCAGCGGCCATGCCTCACGGGCCCAGCCGCTCTGCGGCATGTGGGATCCTCCCGGACCGGGGCACAAACCCGCATCCCCTGCATCGGCAGGCAGACCCTCAATTACTGCGCCACCAGGGAAGCCCCTAAGCAACATTTTTTGATTGAGCCCTCACGTGGTAGGCAGTGACTTAAACATCAGGCCTGCATCATTTCATTTAATACTCAGAACAATCTGGTAAAGAGGACTCGATTGGCCCCATTTTACAGTTACGGAAACTGAGACCCAGAGAGCTCAGTTAATTCCCAAAGACCCCATACTGGACTCTACGTCAGCTTTGTGTGGTTCCAAATTGCCTTTTTTCGCCACTACTCCATGTTAGAACACCTCACACAGCCAGAACATTGTCCGCAGGAAACGATAAATTCTCAGGGAGTATTTATATGTAAACTAGACAATCTCCCTTAAGGATAAACAGCTACTGCCCCATTTGAAAACTGACCAACATTCTTCTCTTACAGGTTAGGCTAGGCTCTTTCGCAGGAAAGTGATTTGTGTGGCTAACAACTTTCCCTTTACCACCACAGGCTTAGTAATAGTCTTATGGCCACTTAAATAACATTACAAAGGATTCTGAGGGAAAGTCATTAAAATAAAGTTGCAATTTTAATGTCCATTAGAATCTGGTATTTCAGAAAGTTCCTTCTCCACACATGTATGGCTCAGACCCTGTTTTGCCTTTTCTTGGCGCCAGACATAAATGCTACCCATGATGAAAAGATTTGGGATGAAAGGATTTGTTGGCCTAACTACCGTGGAAAGAAACTGCTGCTGATTACTTTTATTCCCAGGGCAGTCCTGTCCCCATCCACATGCCACCCCGTCTTCTCCTCCTGAGGGTGAGCCACTGGGCAGGGCCTTGGCCAAGTCTCTGGGCCAGATTTATCTACATTACTAGGATGGCCAGAGGGGACAGCTCTGAACAGGGACTTGGAAACCAGGCCTCTGTTTTACAGATGAGTTTGCTGAGGTCCGGAGAAGCCAGACGACTGACAGGTCAGGAGGCCAATCAGCAGCCAAGCCTGCCCCAGCGCCAGTGCTCCTCCATCGCCCACCCCGCCCCCTGCAGCAGAAGGCAGGGCCCTCACCCTCCTAACAGGCGGTGGCGGCGAGGTCGCTGCCCCTACTCAAACCGCTGCAGCTCCCAGAAGTCCTTCCTCTTTCCACCACCGTTTTCTTTTTTTGGCCAAGAAAACCCTAAGAGGCCACCATAAAAATAAAAGCCAGTATTTCTTAAGTGATTGCTGTGCCACTTCATGCAAGACTACATAAATAATCTCATCTGATCCTCAACATAATCCTGGGAGTGGGCACTATTTTTAGCAATTCCAAGGTCTATAGATGAAGAAACTGAGGCACAGTGAAGTCAAATGTCTTGCCCAAGGTTATCAGCTAAGGAAGGGACAAAGTCAGAATCTGACCCACATCTGTCTGCCCCCAGAGACCACCCTAGGACACTCCACTGCTCCTTTACCCAGGCAGTGAAGCCACCTGATGCCACTGCCTTCAACACAGAAGTGAAGTGCTAAGTGAAATAAGTCAGCCAGAAAAAGACAAGTACTGTACGTTTCCACTTGTATGTGGAATCTAAAAAACAAACAAATATAACAAAACAGAAACAGACTTAACAAAGGACTAGTGGTCGCAGGGGGGAGGGGAAGGGGGGGAAGGGTGAAATAGGTGAAGGGGATTAAGATGTACCAGGGGATTTAAACTACCAGTTATAAAATAAGTAAGTCACAGGGATGTAATGTACAGCACAGGGAATACAGTCAATAATGTCATAATGATATTGTATGGTATATAAGAAATAAAAATACTGACTCACTACGTTGTACATCTGAAACTAATAATATTGTAAGTCAACTATTCTTCAATAAGAAAAAAAGAGGTCAGTAAAAGTGCAGAAAGGACAGGTGAATTTTATCAGAGCACAGTTCGGGTACTCCTCAGGCAAGCTGTCAGGTCATACAAGCCAGGCAAACAGAGATGCCTTTACTGCACTGACTACTTACATGTTGAATGAAAACAGTGTTTAAATTTACGAGTAAAATTAGCACTTAGAAATCATTAAATAAAAATCCTCCCTGCATATGGATGTCAATGACACAGTGCAAACATCCCCTCTTGGAAACACTGTACTGCTTGATGAGACATTCACATGTGGAGAAAATCCCCAAGAAGAGTCAGACTAATTATATATACTTCTAACAATCTCAGGTGAAATCATACAGACTACTCTTCATATTCAGCAGGTCTGGAGAGATCCGTAGACAGTTCTATCCTTGTCTTCAGGGTGCCTCAATTCATTAGGTCCTTCCTGCCCCATCTCAAACCAGAGGTGGTCTTTGTGGTCCCAGCGCCTGCTCTCCACTGTGCACCCTCCACAGGGCTTCTCACTACCTTCAGCCTTGGCGGTGGGGGGTGGGGAACGGGAGTTTCTGCAGCAAGAAGGTGGCACTCCCCAGGTGATGCCAAAAGGTTTTAGAGGGGAGACGCAAGGCAAGTGAGCCTGCCTTCACGATGTCTGGTTGAAAAGGCTCTTATTAAAGGGAGCTCTGATGAATGCCTTTGCTTTGCTGAAGGCAAATTTACTTAGACAGCAAAAGGAAACCTCAGTAAAACTTTTTTTTCCTTTTAGTGAAAGTATAATTCATTCCAAGAATTCCCAAAATGCTCCTCTAAACTTTAAAATAAGCAAAACACTATATAAATACTAGCAGTTGTACATAGTTCAAACACAGAATCCGCACAGCTGCACCCCTTACATGTTGTAAGTGTCCAACAGCACCCATACATACAGTGTATTTATTCTATTTTACAGAGTCCAGAGCATACTGACTGTATCAATTTATTAAGAAAACAGTCTTGGGACTTTCCTGGTGGCACAGTGGTTAAGAATCCACCTGCCAATGCAGGGGACATGGGTTCGAGCCCTGGTCTGGGAAGATCCCACAGGCCGCGGAGCAGCTAAGCCCGCGAGCCACAACTACTGAGCCTGCGTGCCACAACTACTGAAGCCCACGCGCCTAGAGCCCGTGCTCTGCAACAGGAGAAGCCACCGCAATGAGAAGCCCTCACACTGCAACGAAGAGTAGCCCCTGCTCACCACAAATAAAGAAAGCCCGCGCGCAGCAACGAAGACCCAACTCAGCCTAAATAAATATATTAAAAAAAAAAAAAAAGTCTTTAAGTCTTTCTTTTTGTTGCCATGTCACTGGTCCTCTCCACAGTTTATGGAGTTCCTGGCCAGATCATAACTTCCTATTAGAACTACTCCTATGGGAACATACAACGAGCTTTAATAAATGACTTCATTCTACTTATTAGGGATGCAATATAGCAAAAAGCAAGAACCTTGAACTGTTCATAAAATAATCAGCATCTCCCCTACTAAGGATGGCTCTAATAATGTGCCATCTATACTTTAGAAATGCTTCCCATCATGTAGGCAAAATATAACCCTCACTAGACTTCTAATTGTGCTATTTATTGGATGTTTTTACATTAGCACAGCTTTCTGCTTTGCTTGGATTTTATCCAGTAAAAAGATAAATGAAATGATAATTCCGAAACGATAGCAGCAAAATCCCCACCACAATTAAACTTTTCAGCTATATTTTTCTGAAAGCTAAGCCAGACCAAAGAAAGATGTATCAAGTGGAACTCTGGAACCCTTCCAGTTCCTGCAGATCAGGATCTGCTTTATCTTCAAGGCCAAAGTCATTGTTGGCTTCTTAATAAGCTCATAAGAGACATTTCTGTCATCATTTACCTTATCTTGACAACCACTAAGGAAAGGGTTAGTGATCCTCTCAGATGGGATCTCTTGTTAAAGCACACGTTTTCTTGTTCCCAAATGTATTTTGTATAATGTCAGCAAGGAGTAACAGCTAGGAAAACACAGTTGAAAATGGTAATCATTTTGATTCATTTTAAAGAGCACTGAAATGCCAGCAAATGAAACTTCAAAGACCTTAAGATGATGTCAATTTGTCTTTCAAAAGGGAAATCAGATACGACTTCAAACCCATCAGGATGGTATCAACCCCAAATCCCAGAAACTAAGTTTGCTTATCCCTGAAATGTGCAAATAATCCCTTTTCCTCCCAGAGGTGGTGAGGATTAAGTGGATGATAATACATGTTAAAGAAAACACTTAGTACAGTGCCAGGCACATCTTAAGTATGCAAAGCGTAGCATGTACTGCAGTTTCTCCCTAAGCCAAATTTCTAGAAATCGTAGTCCATACTCGCAGCATCACTTCCTGTGCTCTTTCTCATGGGCTCCTCAGCTGCAACCTACCTTACGGCCGCTCCCTCCACTAAAACTGTTCCGGCAGAGGTTATCGATGACGCTGTAATTGACTTACCCGGTGGAAATTCTTAGCTCTCTTGTTACGAGACCCCTCCATGGCAGCTGAAGTGACTGACCACTCACACCACCTTGCTAACAATGCAACTGGTCTTGTTCCCTGTGGTCCCCTTACTCCTCCACTGCCCTCAGAGCCCCTTGAGGGGAGACGGTCTAGGCACAGTGCCTGACATACAGAAGACATCCACCTATGAGCCCTGTAACTAACACAAGCCTCCACGGGGCAGAATCTTCCAACGAATTTGCCCAGGACCCTTAACAGCCCCCCACCCACCCTGCCGCCCTCCCACCCCGGCTCACCCTCAATCCGCTCACAGAGCTTGTGCAGGCCCTGCAGGGGGCAGCCCTCACACAGCTGGGCCGTCGCCTTCGCTGTCTGCTGCACCGCGGCCACTGTGAAGGCCTGCTTCAGGGTCATCATGATCTCATCCACCTGATCGAAGAGAGGAGACTATAGTCATCAAAAAGTCCATTTAAAATGAGCTGGGCAGATGGGACTTCCCTGGTGGCGCAGTGGTTAAGAATCTGCCTGCCAATGCAGGGGACACGGGTTCGAGCCCTGGTCTGGGAAGATCCCACATGCCGCGGAGCAACTAAGCCCGTGCACCACGACTACTGAGTCTGCGCTCTGGAGCCTGTGAGCCACAACTACTCAGCCCGCGAGCCACAACTACTGAAGCCCACGCGCCTAGATCCCACGCTCCGCAACAAGAGAAGCCACCGCAATGAGAAAGCCTGCGCACTGCAATGAAGAGTAGCCCCCGCTCACCGCAACTAGAGAAAGCCCATGCGCAGCAACAAAGACCCAGCGCAGCCAAAAATAAATAAATAAAATTAAAAAAAAAAAAAAAAAGCTGGGCAGAGATTTCAGGACTCTGTGGAAAGACTCAGTACTTTAAGATTCTTCTGGACTATTAGTCACAGGTTAATGAATAATCATCATAATACCTGCTAGGATTACGCGTAGCCTAGAAACACTACAAATGCTCAAAGCTCTTCAAGGAGATAAGGTAAAAACTAGACGCAAATTAAATACTGAACGAAAACCAACTCTTCTGATCAAAAGTCCAAAATGACATTTGAAAAATGCTAAAGCAGAGGGTGAAAGTGAGCAGGCCTTTAAGAATGATGAAGATTGAAAATGCACATCGAATTAAGTCTCGGGTATGTACTAGCTGGTTATCAAATAGTGACAAAAGAATAATTAAAGCCAAATAATATGTCAATGAAGCCATATGGCTTTGCTAAGTAAAGATATCAGTGAGGCTGAAATCCCTTGTAAAGGAGACTTTAAGAACGGCCCCTTCTCACTTACCAGAGCTTCATTTGTGCACTGAAACACGTAACAGACAAAATGAAAGCCTCCACCTCCCGAAGACTCTCGGCAGATAAACCCAAAGTGGTCCACATGTCTAATACCCTGTTGAAGGCAGGGACAAGAACAAGGAATGGTCACTTATATCCAGAAAAGGCACCACTGCCAGACATGCAACTGAAGATTCACACAGCACAATTTTAAAGGACATTATAAAAGTATTATTTTCTCAGATATTTTAAATGTCTAAAAACATCTCTCAAATATGAAGTTCTACTAAAATGTTACTCTGATTATCCCCACAATAAGAGAAGCAGGATCTGAAAACTGGAGTTTTTACTGCTCATTTTAGTAGTGAAAGGAAGTGGAGAAAAGCTGACACAAAAAAATGAGAATTCTTCTTCAGTATCAAGGAATAAGCAGACGAGAGATTAACATACAAACACATATGCACACACACGCAAACACATGCAGACACAAAGTTTAAAAGATTTAAAACATACATAGCACTAAAATAACAAATATGTAAATACTGAAGTAAACTGGTAGGAAGAATGAGTCAAAAATTATACACACAAAAGAAGAGAGACGCTTTTAAACATAAGATATGAAGGCCAAAGTTCTACCACAGTTTCCTAAGAGCTCTTTTTAATAAATATTAATATGTACGCTTGTTTTGAAAGTATCAGCTAAGAGGCACCTTAATAAAGATCAGACATCACCCATAAACATTAATATGCAGCATCTCCTGAAAGCAGCAGCAGGCAGAGACACGAGTGCTGACCGCTTGGAGGGCAGGTGATCGTGTAAACTTGTGAACTGTGTGCCCTTTAGGAAATAATTAAACTATCACATGAAAAAGCCGATATTTAATACTAACATTACAATACAGATAGCAGCAAATCAAGATAAAAAGTATCTTGAGTAAAACTGGCATAGCTCGTTATAATTAACAGATTCTCCAAAATCTCTCTATGAAACACACCCAGGAGATCTGCAAGCAAGAACTCAAGTAGATACCGTACTCTGAGGAAAACATCCTCAAAAGTAGTCACTATTTATTATATTTTAAGGAAGAAGAAATAATGATCTTGGTACCTCAAAAGTTATGAATTTTTATAAAGTAAAAATAAGTATTTAAAAATATTAACTATGTGTGAATGTATATATAAATATGCGCGCGCGCACACGCACACACACGCACACCCCTGGAAATCATGACTGTGGAACATTACTACCAATGCCTGAAAAAAAAGAAAAGGAGACCTATTTTCTCCAGTAGGTTACGGTTGCTAAAAGCAAAATTCTTAATTTCAAAATTATATTTATAGTTTGCCTTAATACACAAAAGGAAATGCAAGATCACAAACCCAGTACTTAGAAAGCATACATCTTGTGACCGTAACCACTTCTGCTGAATGACGGTAAAAGTATTCATTAAAAAATCAAATGGCAATTGAGCTGATAACCCATCTCCATTTACCTGAGAGCAAAAGGATATCTCCTTAAAATTTTTCTCCAACGCTATTTTTTTGGTGTCAGGACTGATGAGGTAAACTTCAGACTGACCAATCTTAAAAGACAAAAAAAGAAACTAGCTTTTTATGAACACTGAATTCAGATTTATACACGAACTTTCTCATTTCATAACCTATGAAAATAAAGACTCAATGGGTCAAGCTCCTATAGAATTCTGACCATCTCATGTAGAAAATCACTTCAAGGTCACAATCTATCCTACAGATTTCAGGTAGCACAGACAACCATCAGTGTGTTCACCTACATCAGGCAGCAGTCTTGAGGTGAAAGGACCAAATATATAGAAGTTGGCAACTAAGCCTCAGGTTCCCACATCCCCCCTTTGTAAGGAAGAGAGGTTTCTACATAAGTGAACCTCCCAGGAAACAGGAGCTTCTCTTTCAAGATTTCTAGAACACTTCCTAATGATTAGAAAAGTCTTCTTAAATTATTGTTAAAACTATCTACCATTTGTTGAATGCATACTGTGTTAGGTATTCACTACTGCTTACCTGACTTTCTAAAAAAGCTAGAGCGTTAGCACAAATTAACACTGTCTTACATACCTGGGTCAGCATAACAGATCTCCATTACAGCAGGGGACTGTGTTGCAATAACCACACTGTTAACTGTGCAGCACCCCTCCCTCACCTTGCTGCTCCCTGAACCCAGCTGGCCACAATGAAACCTCTGCTCAGTGAAAATCACTTCCTCAAGAAAGTCTTCCCTGATTCCCCAGATGCCCTCACAGCATCCTTTACTTCTCCTTTACGGCATTTATCACAATTTTAGTGAGACAATTACCTGTACAATCGCCAGTCTCTCATTGGAATCTAAATTCCACATGGGTAGATATCATGCCTGTCTTGTTCACTGCTGTATTTCTAACGTATTACACAGGACCCTGTATACAGCAGTCACATAATAAGTACTTGAAAATAAATGCACTGAGCAGCTTTCCCAATGACACCAAGAGGGTTTTTGCTTTGTTTTGTTTTTTTAAAATATATATCACACATTACAGCACCAGACTGGCTGCCAACGTAGCACTCTTTTCAGTATACTAGGTCAACCATGAAAAGAGGAAGAAATCGGCCCTCTGACACCCCACCTTGATCTTGAACCTGCATACACCCACACAGCCAGCTTCCTCACCCCTGGGCCATCCTCTGCCCCGAATCAGGCACAGACGCCAAGACTTTACATTTAAGCTCAGGTTGCTCTCTCTGTAGTCAGTCGGCCTTAGGCCAAAGAAGAGACAGAGGAGGCCGAGGAACAATCCACTCCCTATATTGTCAGAGACCAGCTTGCTACTGGGCCAGCTGAGTCCCATCGGCTCAGACCCAGAGGACTCCCAGGGAGGGCAGCCTGACCAGAAGAGCCGAGATCAGCATGGAACCCAGGAGCGGCGACTGCCAGGGACAGCTTCCCTGTCCATGCCTTTTCTGGCAGTTGGCTGTCAGTTTACCAAACCATTTCTAGAAAAAAGTGAGTGAGCAATTGGCTAAACTAATATTTCAGCTTGGGTATCAATTTCAAATATCATGTTATCCCCAAATCTAATTATCCAGATAACAAAGGGTAAGTATTTTACAAATTAGTAAAAGTAGTAAAGAAGGGGTATTTTCCAAAAAGATTTTGTTGAAATACATTACTTGAAATTAGTATCCATTTTTAAAATCTCCTTTGGGGGCCTCTTTTACGCATATTAACTCTTCTTTCCACATTGAAAAGGTGTCTTCACAACCATGGGGGAGGGGGATAAAAGTCATAGAGGATATAAGATAGGAGTCTCTTTATGTGACCCCCTGATGAATTCCAAAGGCTAATTAGGGACTAAATAAGGATTTTATCTTGAGAAAAGAATTATTCAGTATAAAAACATATGGATTCACACATAAATCCAAAAGAAATTCACAAAGAATCTTCGCTTGATAAAGCAGATTTTCTTTTAAACACACAGATCAGACCGGGGATGCGCATGAGGCTTTGATAATATTTTACCGTGAAGAGCATAGTTCGATTTTCCTCAATATCCGTCGGCTGCACAATACTGTGTCCACTAATCAGGTGGTTCTCGATGTCGTTCTCCTCAAAGGAGCTGAAAAAACTACTACTCCGCAGGCCTGCATCCTGAAACTCCTTCCTGAAGGCCAAGGAGCGCAGCCCGGGCTGGGAGAAGGACTTGCGCATCGGCCGTGGGCCCTGCTCCCGGTCCCCCGGCGGCTGCGGCGCAGCCCGGAGCTGATCCGAGGAGAAGCCGCCGCCACTCACGTGGCTGAAGCCCTCGATGCACTCATCGATCAGGGCGGGCGGGGCCTTCCGGTGCGCCACCGCCACGCGGCCGCAGAACAGCACCTCAAACTTCTTGGCAAACGTGTCATCGAACTCGGAAGGGCAGCGGAGCTCGTCCTGGCGGGCGATTTTCCCGGCCTGCCGGATGGAGCTGATGATCTCAGGCACCTGCCGGGCAAGGAAGGAGTGTTATTTGGAACCCGCAGTGGTTGGCGCGGCACAGGACCCTCATCCACAGGAGCCAACGCCGTGCTCTCCCCATCGGCACAGGGCGTATTCCATCAGCCTGAAGGTGCATCCCACTGGGAATCTGGGACCAGGAGAGGGAAATGGGCAACTTACACAGAGACAAGAAGGGGAAAAGTATTTACTAAGCACCTCTTCCGCGCTGGGGCTACGCTAGAGGATTCGCGCACCCAACATCCTGCAAGCTTAAGTAAGGAGCTCACAGCCACACAGCCACACGTGGCAAGTCAAACCCAGGCTGGTCCCCCCACTCCAAAGCCAAAGGTCTTCTCCGGGAAGCTGCCACCAAAACATTATGCAGTTATTCTAATTTCATGGCAGTGCATCTTGGCAGTGCATCAAGTCTTCCAAAATAAATGATGGGATGAGGAGAACAAGACTGTAATTATCTTATACAACCTTTCTTCTAATCATAACATCATTATTTTCTCTAATGACAACTAACAATTTATTCCTCAGTCTTATATTCTCCAATAGTTGAATAGTATTGACTACACAGCTAGGAGGTTTTAATCGAGGAGTAAGCAACCCATGGCAGTATCATCATCAGGGCAACACACTGGGGCTTCTTTCCACTGAGCTTCTAAAGCCTTTGATTCCTAATGTAAAGTCATGATCAAGAGAATGAACAAAAGGGTCTCGTGTGCTACTGTCGGCACTACTGCTACACCCTCTCATCATTAGCTTCTGACAAGATCCCTCAAAGAAGCCACAGACCGAGATGAGTCCTCAACCGCATGAATAAGCATCTGTGCAATCATCTGGATGATGTACAGCCTCAGTACTAACACAAAACAGGCACAAATTCAATGTTCATAAGGAAGGGCCTAGTTTTTGTTATGCCCTAACACCCAAAGCCAATTTTTCCTTTTCTCTTTGTAAGAAAATCCAATTTAAGACCCAATACCCATAGGCCCAATGTCTTTTTAATGACATAGAGGGAAAAGAACCCCTTTTCAATTCAAGTCAAAGATCAGTACATACAGTAAAGGGAGGTGGTTTTAGTGGATTTTAAGAAGCAAGCTTATATTCTGTGTTCATAACATAATCCCCAAAGACCCAACGACTCAAAAGACTTTTCTCTTTGTGATTTCGTACCAAGCACACCTTAAAGACAATCTCTGCCATAAAGATTAAGATATATCCTTTCAAGATCTTTTATCGTACAAAAGTCAGTTTTATCTTCAGAGATTTTATGTTTTAAAAAATTAATTCCTGAAGCATAAGACCTAAATGACACTAAGGAAGCCAGAATTTCAACGTCAAGCAACCATGTGCCCTGAGTATTTGCTTGAGCTGTAGCTCATTCCTCCACTGACAAATAATTACATATCCTGTGGAGGCCTAAAAATTGTTTATCAATATAAAAGGACAGAGAGAAGAAAGCAGAAAGTCTAGATTTCACTCACACCTTTGCCAACCAGTCACTACAGGAACTTGGCAAAAACAGCCTGTTTTTCTCTCTGGGGGAAAAAAATACTTACAAGATTTTTCAGGTAAAAGTTGTTTCTGTAAGGGTAAAGAATAATGACTTTTTCAAAAAAAAGAAAAACGATTTATGCAAGTGAAAACCTTGCCGCTTTTCTGAGCAAGTGGGTAAAATTATTTTATCAGGAGCCATGTGAATCTTCCTAATTATTAACCCCACTCTCTGAACAGAAAATTCAAAGCTTACTCAGTCTTTTGAGGCTTTTTTTAAAACAATAACTGACATTTCTATATGCTGGGTCTTCCACTGCATCTGAAGTGAGTAATGAATGGTGTCTTTCGTTACATATCAAAGGGGAGAGAAAATGTGTGAAGTCACATGAATTTATGGTGACTCAGCAATAAAAGGTACAAACACAAGTAAGACACAAAGTAGAGAACTTGCTTGTTCCCTCGCTTCACAAGGTCAGAGGAGGCTAACGAGTACATCGTCCTTGGTCAGAGTTGAGCTGTGGTCATTTTTCCTACCACCAGTCTCTCCTATCCTTTGATTAGAATCTTCGAAACACACGCTTTAGTCAAAAACCAGTGCCTCTCCCTGCTCTAGCAGGTGCCTCTCCCTGCTCTAGTGAGCTGTGTGAATATGGGTATCAAGGAGATAATTGGGGTTAAAAAAAAAATCTCAGGGATCCTGACAAGAATATAACAACTTCAGAATATTTGAAGGCGTATTGCCAAACACAGTTTCAACAATAAATTGTAAATAGTTAAAAATCTAACGTTTTTAAAACATTTCTGTAAGTCATTCAAGTATACTAGGAGACTAAATAAAAAGTGGACTCCACATGTGCCTAAGTTTGCAAAACTTTGATAGTTTAGTTCCCTTAACCAGAACAGACCTGAGCACCATTTTTTGAAAAATGAAGGCATATGACAAACCCACAGCTAACGTCATACTCAACAGTGAAAAGCTGAAAGCACTCACTCTAAGATCAGGAACAAGACAAGGATCTCTCGTCACTTTTATTCAACACAGTTTTGGAAGTCCTAGCCAAGCAATCAAAGAAAAAGAAATAAAGGAATCCAAATTGGAAAGGAAGAAGTAAAACTGTCACTGTTTGCAGATGACATGACACTATACATAGAAAATCCTAAAGATGGTACCAGAAAACTACAAGAGCTCATCAATGAATTCAGTAATGCTTCAGGATACAAAATTAATATACTGGGGACTTCCCTGGTGGCACAGTGGTTAAGAATCCACCTGCCAAAGTAGGGGACATGGGTTCGAGCCTTGGTCCGGTCAGATCCCACATGCCACGGAGCAACTAAGCCCATGTGCCACAACTACTGAGCCTGCTCTCTAGAGCCTGCAAGCCACAACTACTGAGCCCATGTACTATAAAACTCCTAGAGGAAAACATAGGCAGAACATTCTTTGACATAAATTGAAGCGATATTTTTTTGGATCCATCTCCTAAAGGGAATAAAAGTGAAGACAAACAAAGGGAACCTAATTACACTTAAAAGCTTTTGCACAACAAAGGACACCACTGACAAAACAAAGACAGTCTAGTAGATGGGAGAAAATATTTGCAAATGATATGACCGATAAGGGATTAATATCTAACATATATAAACAGCTCATACAACTTAACATCAAAAAAACAAACAACCCAATTTTTAAAATGGGCAGAAGAATAGACATTTTTCCAAAGAAGAAAGGCAGATGGCCAACAGGCACAGTAAAAGATGCTCAACATCACTAATCATCAGGGAAATGCAAATCAAAACCACAATGATCTCACACCTGTCAGAGAACGGCTATCATCAAAAAGAACACAAATAACAAATGTTGGCAAGGATGTGGGGAAAAGCGAACCCTCGTACACTGTTGGTAGGAATGTAAATTCGTGCAGCCACTGTGGAAATCAGCATGGAGGTTTCTCAAAAAGCTAAAAATAGAACTACCATATGACCCAGCAATTCCACTACTGGGTATACATCTGAGAAAAACAAAAATGAATTTGAAAAGATACATGCACCCCAATGTTCACAGCAGCATTATTTACAACTGCCAAGACATGGAAAAAAACCTAAGTGTCCATCAACATATGAATGGATAAAGAATAGGTGGTGTATATATATATATATACACACACACACACACACACACACACACACAGGAATACTACTCAGCCATAAAAAAGAATGAAAGTTTACCATCTGCAGCAACGTGGATGGATTTGGAGGGCATTATGCTAAGTGAAGTAAGTCAAGAGAAAATCACTTATATGTGAAGTCTAAAAAATACAACAAATTTAGTGAATACAACAAGAAAGAAGCAGACTTACAGATATAGAGAACTAGTGGTTACCAGTGGGGAGAGGAGCAACATAAGGGTAGGGGAGTGGGAGGTACAAACTACTGGGTGTAAGATAGGTTCAAGGAGGTATTGTGGAACACAGGGAATACAGTCAATATTCTGTAGTAACTGTAAGTGGAAAGTAACCTTTAAAAATTGTATAAAAATTTTTTTAAAAAAGAAAAATGAAGGCATACTGTCCACCTGTGACGAAATCCTGAATTCTCTATTTTTTTTAAATAAATTTATTTATTTTATTTTTGGCTGCGCTGGGTCTTCATTGCTGCACGTGGGCTTTTCTCTGGTTGCGAGAGGGGGCTACTCTTCGTTGCGGTATGCAGGCTTCTCACGGTGGTGGCTTCTCTTTTTGTGGAGCCTGGGCTCTAGGCGCGTGGGCTTCAGTAGTTGTGGCACGCAGGCTCAGTAGTTGCGGTGCACGGGCTCTAGAGCACAGGCTCAGCAGTTGTGGCGCACGGGCTTAGCTGCTCCACGGCATGTGGGATCTTCTGGACCAGCGATCGAACCCGTGTCCCCTGCGTTGGCAGGCGGATTCTTAACCACTGCGCCACAGGGAAGCCCCTGAATTCTCTATTCTTTGTAACTCTGTCCTAGACTCACCTATACTGTTGCTTGTTACATAAGGGAACTGGGCCACTTACTTCATTTTATTTTCAAACACTGTCCTTGGTATGACTGGATGCCAGAAGGTAGGGATTCAGAAGTGTGAGATGAACACAAGGTAGCCCTCTGCCTTGGAAGGGAGTGGGGCCTGGAAGGAAGTTTGGTTAGAACCCTTTACAGTAACAGAGATGGGGTTTGCTGGGAACCTGAACTAAGCAGCAAGCACTGAAGACAGAGAGGAAGGCTGCGTGAAAGATTCTGGAAGACAGACCCACAAGACTTGGTGATTACCCAGACAGGGGCATTGAGGGTGTGGAAGACTGCAAGGGACTCACAGGGCTCTGGCTTAGACTTCTTCAGTAGGGAATAAAGAGGCAGCAGGCTTGAGGAGAGATTACAATGAGCGCTGCTCCTGTCCATGCTGAGTACGAACAAGAGGACTTGAACGTAAAGGCATCTAGTGGGCAGTTGGACAAGCCAGCCTGGAGTCCAAGACAGGAGAACTAGA